CAAAAACAATTAATGACCTAGACAAATTGATCCCACAAAGTCGAGACTAGATGCGATAATGGTTTTGCGACCACGAGGACTGAACAAATGGAACTTGCCCTCAGTTCGATTTGGCTACCACCATAACACCCGACGAGACATAAAGTCGGACGGCGGAGTTCCACTTCTGACCAAAGGAGGGCGTAATCGAGTCGCCTGAGATGACGATATTTTGTTGTATCACAAACTAGAGGCTTTTTCAACCGACTTTTGAGTCCCACGCTCCATGTGGGATCCGAGAGTCGACGCAACAATAGATGACGGTGCCATTTTTTCAATACTTCGATCTCCTGCTAGTCAGCGGTGTGAAAGGACCGATTTTTTTACCCATGAAGTAGAATGGGTTCGACAGACTACTTGCTCAGCAAAGTTGTGTTTGTCGTCATGTCTTGCAAAGAGACCGCAAATATTTTCACAGACCACATAACATGTCGCAACATGAAAGTTCAGTGCCATGGCTTATACCCTCTTCACACTAACTTATCGGTGGCACTGAAGAGTCGGTTTATAGAAAAGTAGTCCACGAAAACTGATGAGAGGACACAACCTTGTCAGATGCCACCATCGAAAGCAAATTACTTCAATCCTCAACTGTACGCTCGACCTTCACCTCACGTAATTTGGTTGTATGTCCTAATTCAGCTCGTGAGCTTCGGGAACATACCAACAGTATGCACGATCATCCAGATAGATGGTCTATCGACTCAATCTAACGTCGTGGGATGATGAAGAAAACGGAAAGTCGTACTTTGTTAAAATCAGTGCTTTTGTTCTGGAATTTGACGCAAGATATATAGGCCAGACTGTTTCTGTATTTGCAGCAAGCTGCCATGTGTCTCGCCTTTGATTAATGAAAAGGGAATGCAGTGCTCCACTCTTATGGCACGTAAACGCTAGACAGCACTTGGAACGAATCAAAAATATAATCAGGTTTGCTCTTGTGGTTAGGAGTCCATACAGGCGTGCGGTTCATAATGCCTACCGAAGTCTGGTAGCGGCGGGCAGCACACTGTCGTACACGCAACAGAGCTACTTAGAAGCAGTTTTGGAAATGTGGGAGGGGTCGTGCCAAACACATATACTGACAGAAATAATTTAATAAGCAATTTATTATTGGGAATTGTTCTCGTTTTTATTGTCGAAGTGATCTGTCAATTCTCCTTCATGAAACTGGTTTTGTGCCAAAGGCAGTGGGGGCTCACCTCGACTCTGAAGCCTTGCTCTTCCAGGATCGGTCCTGATCAACTTTAATTCGTCTTGTTAGCTGACGACGCAGTACTTTGAAGTTTGGAGAAGAGGCGATAGGACAGACGAGAGGTCCGGCGTTTCGTAGCCCCGTCCGAGGCCATCGTCAAAAAAGCGAAAACATGCGGCTCAGTTTATGCACGGACTCATTCAGCCGCGCCACTGATTCGTACTCGTAGTACACGGTTAGCAGGCAACAGATCACCAGACCTGTTTGGATGTCTGGCTTCCAGCGGTTGATGCAAAACGCGGCCATTTGACTGGCTTACTAATGTCACGGGATCAAAAACGAAGATGTACCATGGGAAACGTGCGTGGATGGCCACCAGGGCAATGTGTCTTTTTGTCTAACAGCAAGTTTGCATTCATGCGTCTTCGTCCCGACTTGTTTACCGGTTTCACCAACACAAATGCATTCAGTCCGTCGAATGGCGTCAGATTTCTAACTAAGCGCTATGAGCCCTTGTCACATTTACGCATGCAGCCTACATCCTACATCCAGCAACCTCATTAGTTTATGGATCTCTTCCGCCAAACCAGCGCCGTGTGACACAGAATGCCGTAGGCTTTATCTTTTCGTTTCTCACGTAGACTGTTCGCCGACATTTCTAGGAAAGGCTCGAGAGGAACTGGATGGCTCTGAAGAGCTTTCGGGGATGTTGTGTTGCTTTGTTTTATCGTCCGGCTCATTACAATGCGTTTAAGCGCGGCAGTAATGCATCCTTACGCATCCGCGTTTGTTTGAAATGTAGCTGTTGTTGTTGGAGGGGATCTAGGGCTGCCCGGTTGGGGGGGAGGGTGAGGCATCGTGTACGGATGGTCGGCGGTGGCTGCTCTTACGGCCCCTAACTGGCATCCAACTGTCATTTGGGACTCCTCGAGGCTAAGCACTGCTTGGCGATCACACCCCGATAATCTCCTCGATCGGCGAGCTCAAACACATGATGAATGTGGGCGAACAATGGGGGCTGGATGTTGCTGCACAAGTTCGTTTTTATTTGACGTCATCTGGCACACACTCGAGTGTGTGGTAGTAGGCGAATGTCTCTGCGGAGGCAGACAATCGAGGATTTCCTTTAGCTTGACTAAAACGACTTCAGTGGCTTACACTTTATGAATTTGTTTTACTCCTTTAAAACATATGTCGTTGACAGAGTTTTTTGCTTGCCGCGGCTGAAACCGCCCAAAACCTCCTGTTTCTTGAATTGCTGTGTCCTATTTGCGACGTATACTTTATGGGACTTTTTTCACGTTTCCTTTTTTTCTAATTAGACAGGTAGAATTGCATTCAGACGGACCCGAGAAGTCTGATGAAAAGCAATACCTCTTTGATAACAGCGACATTTCTGACAGAACGTTTGATTCCACAGAAAATTTGATAGATTCTTCCCGGGACGGAAACAATCAGAATTCTGCGCCCCCGCGGATAGCAGGGACTCCTCAGTCTCCAGTCACTACGCCCTCAGAAAGGGGCCCGTCGCTGACACGCCACTCTCCGCAGGCGCCAATCTTCAGCACTGCAGGAGCTTCACATGACGGCGAGATGGTTGGATACGTCCCACTATCCAATGACCTCGAACCCGCAAGGCTGGCGAATAGCGATAGCCAATGTTTAGTGCAGGAGGTGCAAGAGTTGAGTTCTTCGGGCTTTTTGAAACCCGCCAGACCTCCACCTCCAACGCAGACGGTTATTAATAAGAACTCCAATACCTATCAGCGTGTTATGGCCTCGGATAATAGGACGCACGAACGGGAGCGATCAGCACGATATCGCCCCTCTAGCATGACTGCCCCGATGAGCGTCAAACCGCGTACTGGTGTGGTCTACTCTGGGCCGGTGCCTAGTCTGCGGTCTAATAGAAACAGTACCGAGGGCACGCCTCATCAGCAGCTAAAGGCAGACGTGAGTCCAGTTAATCAGCGAACAACCCGACCGCAACAGCAAAGCCGCCCTGGAGTGCATCAGCCGAAACGACATCCCGTGGACCGTACCGGAATCCCAACATCTAACTCCTCTCAAGACCTGCAATCTGAAGGGGCGGATCAAGAAATGGTAGTTGTTGGAACATGTACTGCCCTCTACGACTTCACAAGTAAGTCTCGGGAAAAGTGGATACTGATCTTTTATTAGGTTTTGGCCGTTGCTGGCCTTAGGCGCATTTCTGCTATCATCTTCCGTACCAGGTTAAACAAAATAAGTTAATACAATTGAAGTGGTGTGTCATCTTGTCTTGGTTATGCTGTGCGACACTGCATTTCGTACTCGCTTGAGTCGAAAAGAAGATATTTAACGCAGGGGACTTTCCTGCGGATGCAGAAGTAGGGATTTCCACCAGATAATGAGTTTATAAAACTGGACTCTTTTTCTTGTTCCAGAAAAATAGCGGATAATGTAAGTCCACATCGTTTAAAGTGGAAATTGGTCCACTGCATGGTCTCATGTTCGTGAAAATGGGTACACTGACCTTGGGGATAGTCCCGGACTGTGGACCGCATGATTTACCTTGTTCTCGTATAACCTGACGAGTGGATTCGGGGGGTTCACGCATGCCGTGACCGAGTCGTGGTTGTTTTTTCATGCCTCGATGATCTCTTGGGACATCTTGTTCCTAGTCCATCTAAGTGTCTGCTTCGAAGATGCAGTTCTGTTCTAAACTTGGTTTCCAGTTTGATCTGTATAACCGCAGGGGCAGTCAGCGCACGGAAAGCGGTAGTGGAAAGCATGCTATTGGCTCGGTACGTTCAGTCCTATGCGCACATCAACCAGTTAATGTTATGAACTTGCCGCAAGTCTCATTGGTCGCCAGTCCAACAGCTCCTCTTGACCGAATCCCAAACCAGAACTCAATAGCAAGAACTGAAAAAAAAATAATTGGTATATTCTCTGCCTATCTAAGCCAAAAGTAACTCATGGAATGACTAAGGTCGGACTGGAATTCAACGAATCAGATAGCGGCCTTGAGTGGCAAGCACGTCCGCTGAACTCCTGGCCCATCTGACTGGTGAGGTAAACCTCCAATCCTGTCGGGAACTGGCGCAGCATCAGCACAAGCACGGCGTGTAGGCGGATCGGTAGGGCGGCGCCCTAATAGTTACGTGTTGTGCTAGCCGGAGAGTGTGTAGGTTCGGGCATGGGTGGGTGGCGATTACTGTTAAGCAAGAAATGGACGCCTCAATCTCCCTTGTCTTTTCGGAGCTCCCTTCAGATGATGGAACCCCTTGTCCTCACTGGGCAGTCAAAGTATTTATTTCCCGAAAAATCTTATCGCACAGCGAACAGAACTGTTATGACCCGGACCGAATGCGTACCCGACTGTTGTCCCAACCACCAACACGGCAGCAAAAAGAGAACTCGACCAGCCATGAGGAAATGCACTAACTTACAAGTCGTTCCACTGAAAAATGGCACCTATTTATAACACCCTGTTCCGTTTGACTAGGTTTCCCTCCAATAAGCTTTGAGAAGAAAGTTCTAGACTAACCGAGCAACTTCTCGCAGACACGGACCCATCAGGTTCTAGGAGGCAGCCAACGGCGAGACGCCACTGGCAGGATGTTAACAGCATGACAGAAAGTGTGCGCACATGCTTTCCAGTCAGTGCCTGGCTCTTTTTGAGGCAGCCAAAATAGACACGGTTCTGTGTGCGGAAGACGAAATGTGTGCTTTCTCATCAGCAGTGCGACCGACTAGTTCGTGCGTACACTCTAAAAACGAACTGGTGGGTTGTTGACTAGATGGTAGGAAAGTAACCACGGGACCTGTTAGCAAGTGGGCATGTCAACCATTTACTTCTCAGCTCTGGCATTTCAATGAATTTTTGCTTCTTTGTTTTCTTGCGACCAGAATGAGGAGCTCCGTTCGCAGCGGAAAACATGTATAGCTGTTGTACAGCATTTTCGATTAGACTGATGTAGACAAACAGTGAACGCGAGGCCGCATTATTGACAGACACAAGGAAAGATCAGACTTTCATTTAGAGACCGACGACATTTTAAAAATAACATTTCTTGACCCCACGAAAAACTGAGATTTATTTATCGTTAAAATAGGAAGTTGACGTGAGCAGTTAATTCCCCTCAATGGCACACGAATGTATTCGGCATGCGGCATTACTATTTAACAATAAAAAAAAGTATGCGATGTCGTTTTCGCTTCTTATGTAATCTGTTCCTCTCGTCATTGAAGAAAATTTTCGCACTTTACTGGACGGAAGTATGTGGGCAGCAGTTAAAGAGAAACTGGAATAACCGCCTTGGCGTGCCTTCAGTCATTAGCCAGATTTCCATGAACAGCTACGTTACGCATCCTATTATGCCCTATCGTTGCCTTACGTGGCCTACCTGGCTGCCAAAAATATCACATAATCTGGTCTCACTACTTTTGATCAACCGACCACAATGGTTCCACTCTCATAACAAACATCGGATGATTTTCTGCTGTTTCCTCTTCAAACGGTGCACTTTTTAGCTGTGTTTAAAATATTTATACTTTCTGTTTCAAGGTAATTGGTTCACAGCTTTCTAGATTTCAACTCTTAGATATTTGAACGCCAACTTTTGCAATGCACTGCAATAGAAAACTAAAAATGATTTGCCGCGATCCCAAACATAGACACTTGCACCAGACTTTAGTGTCGACTTATTGTACCTACCGGCGGTTGGTCTAACAAATGCAATTTCCGCATCGAGTTTCATGTCGCCTCTGCGTCCCAGTGATCATAAAACGTTGGGTTACCGACAGCTTACTTCAAATCTGAATTTAGATGATACTTTAAAATTAGATTTCCGGAGATACGTCAGTAAGCATACGTTTCAAATAAATTTTCGCCGGATCTGTAGGTTCATAAGACAAACTACTGCCTAGGTGGAAGTTGCGGAAGAAGAATTTGTATTTCGTTAACCATACAGTAAGAGACCACAGTGCCAAGTGTTCTGTGTTCTCCGACCGATTGAAACGTTTGCTTAACCCTCTTCTAAATCATTTGCTGGAAATTTTTGCTGATCTAAGAAACCCTGAGTTGTGGACTGGGTTTTAAAACAAACTATACGAGGATCTCCAAGGAACTAATTGTGAAGCGAAAATCCTTAAAAATGTACCATAGAGCATTAATTTACAAAACGTACAAAAGATAGTTAGAAGGTGCGCCCGGACTTTTGGTAAGTATTTCCGCCCGGGTTAGGGTATACGAGCCTGGCAAGGCTCTGTTTATGATGCTGACTGCCGACCCTCGGATGCCTCAACGCAGCGTAGTCATTGTTCTTCCATATACATGCTCCGTTAAGATTTTTGTGAAAGGAATCAGATCAGCGTTTGATTTCAATCATTTTTCTCGAACAGTTGAAAGCTGAGCAGCCTCCTTCTTGATTATTGAAGTGCGGTTAGTTCGGAAGGACCAACAGGGCAGACGCTTTTATTCTTCACTCTCTCCCTCTCCTAGTGAGCTGCTGTGCTAATGACATAACTTACTTTTCGAGAAGCCGGCCTTTGTTTTTCAAGGCTGTACTGATGTCTTTAGGTGTTTGCTTTTCCATTGGCATAAGATCCTGAAATGAGCAATGATCCTATTCGATCCCCTTTCTTTGCCTTTATGAAATGTGGCCGGTGTCAAAACTGTGTGTTACTGTCCTCTCAGGCGAGCAGTTTGGGACGTCCTTCCTCTCCTTCAAGCAGGGCGATGAGTTCGATGTGCTGGCCTCCAGGGGGCAGTTTCCCAATTCACTGGATATCGAAGGCTGGTACTATGCTGAGAAGACCAATCCCGCAAATAGCAACCCCAAATTCGGTTTCATTCCTGCCAGTTTTGTGCAGGTAGACATATTTACCGAGGCTGTGCCCCTGTCAAGAACTTCTTCCGAACTCTACCGCGCCCACTTGTCTGGAACAGTTACGATCAACGACGATCACAGTAAGCAGCATGACGTCCTTGTCAGCCGTCAACATAAAAACTACCAAAATATGGCCCTAGGACAGGCAACTGAACTCTGACGGAGGCGACTCTGACGCTCTTGGTGTACTTGACATCTGTATATGTGGTTTCCTTTTTTTACTGATTATTTTCGCCCTCCCGAAATTTTGAATTTCTTACTTTGTTATCCCATGTAAATGAAACCATTTTTTCTCCTTCCCTTGTACAAACAACTATCAAGTAAGAATTATTCTATAACATGCCCTTTTCTTTGTGGACTGTAACTGTGTTGTATATATTGATGGTGTCACGAACAGAATTCTGCTTTATTTGTCAGTTCAAATTTTGCAAGATGTTGCAAGCCCATGTCGGTCACATGGAGATCATGCTGCCCAAATGTGAGTTAAGACAATTAACTACTGTCTGTCACAGTTGTGGTGTTTATTGGGGTGTTCATATCCATAATAACTAAAATTATCTCGGGCAAATTTCGAAATATTTATGGCCAATAAAGCAGATACTCGAGAACAATTTGGCGAGCTAATTTGCAGCCCATACAGACTACCAAGGAACAATCCCGTTATCCAAAAAAGGGCCGAATAGGAGGAAGAGAGGACAGATTTGCTCGGTTGATTTCGCAGCTCTTTCAAGACATTCGCGCTCTGCGATAGAACGCGTCAGCATGCGGATAAACTTTTTAGAGCTTTAACATCGTAGACTACATGGCGACAGCGTTATTCGGGCAGGATCTAAGGTAAACATTGCGTAGCGGAATAAAATCGTGTGTTTTGTTTACAATGGCCCTCGGGTAATTTCAATCGGCAACACATGCATTATAGTTATTGAACGAATTTGTCATATTTGGTTTATGACATTTGGTTGAGGAGTTAACATTAATGTTTTTTATGGTGGAGAAACAGAACATTTTACCAAATGGAAGCATTTGCGGGAACTATTAATTTCGTGTTTTGAATTGTAAAAAGGTGCTTCTAAAAGATATCTTTAGTCGAGGAAGCCCAATGCGAGGATACTCTCTCCGAAAGAAAGTAAAATAAGTGGTTCGAGCGCTTTAACATTAATAATTCCTACGTAGAATATAAGGCCTTTTCAGGATTTTCGGAAAATATTTGAAAATGAATAATTGAAACGCTAGTTCATCAGAATTCATGATAAAAGCTTAAAAGAATTTTAAAATTTTTATTTGGTGGATCCACTGCTGACAAACATCTGCAGGCATTGAGAATGGTACAGAAGAGCTAGCATGACGCGTGAATTAACTGGAGAACAACATGACAAGCATAAAACCACGTGTGAAATATTACCATCAAAACTCTCAATTTTGCATCGAATAGTGATTAATGGCAAAAATTAGATCTGTTAAGGTAATCCCAAATGTTAAAAACCATGGACTACGCCAAGCCAACCACCAGTATTAGGGCCAAACCAAAATATTCATAAAAAGCAACTATGCTGTGCAGTCGGCGGTGCCAAGAACGAATGACATACTACAAGTCGCAAAAGTTATCTAAAACTTATTGCTGGGGATATCAACAATAATAAATCAGTTTGAGTCGCGCTTTGAAAACAAAAAGGCCAGAATATGATGGGAAACGTGGTAAGATGGTATTTCAGCATGACCACGCCAGGCCCCATATTGCACAAACGAGTAAAGGAAACGTTGGAAGCACTTCTTTGGGGAGTCCTACCCTGCTCAGCGTATTCAAAAAAACAGTGTAAAATGATGAAACATAGTCTTGCTGATTAGCGTTACGTTCTTTATGAAGAAGTCAAAAATTAGCTCGAGCAAGGGACTCCTTCAAAAGATCAACACTTCTTCTACCGCAGAATCCATTTGTTACCCGGAATGTGGGAGAAAGTTGCAGGTGCGCGCGGGAGATACTTGGCACAAAGTATAATGTACGGTTTTGAATAGGCGTTTTTCGACAACAACGGCGCGAATTAATTCCAACTCCTAATAACTTTAAAGACTCTCGTCTCGCCATTCAGAAAATATCATGTTATTAGGATCGCCTTGCTATCTACCACGGGCATGTAAAATTATGCAGAAAAACAACTCTGGCAAGCAGGTTCATGTCACCCACAAAATGAATTGGTCACTGCGATTCACAATAGCCGCTTTTAGATATGAGGAATCTTGTCTACGTCCGATCTGCAAGTATGAAAGTACATAAATATGAATGCGGATAAATCTGATTGACGGTGTGGCCCTTGTGTATTATCTCGTTCATTGACCGTTTAAAGTGTTGGCTTCCACAATAACAAACGATGGACCAGAAGGCGAATATTCCTTTCTTTTTGTTTTTATGCTCCATTGGATTGTGTTCCCTACAGTATTTCGTCAGCAATGAAAGACATGTGGTACTTTTCAACAGCTTATGCTAAGACCACGCTGAATTTTGGTCGTGAGATTCCGTGTTGGCTCAACCGTTCATACCAAATTTCTCACCGGTGGTAGCCAGCATATTAATGAAATGCGAATCTACACTTTTTTTACTTACCGCCCTCTAAATGGGTTTCATTGTGAAAAGCAGTCTTTGGAAGATAAACTGATAGTGGTCATCAAGTAGGGATGGGCCATAACTGTAGAAAGTGGGGCAAACTAGCGAAGTCAGATAAATGCGAGAACAAGCGCCAGTTGGTTGTTGTCAAACTACTGTATGCGACAGTTCAGTTTCCGCAAGTAACGACGTCCACCGTGTGCCACGCAGAGGGGACGCAGCACCAGCCACTTTCGAGTGAACTGGTTTACGGTGAGGCAGACTTGTGCCGCATCCACCGCACTTCCTCCTCCCTTCAGTCACCAGA